GAAACCCCCGATCTCTTTAGGCTAATCAGTGTATAAATATTTGACCTCTAAGAATTGAGGCTGACCTGACGTTGTCCCCCATCACCGACCAATTTCTAATTTCTTATATTTGATAAAAATCCTGTTAGCCCTCTCCTACTCAGTTAACTTAGCTAATGATTTATAGAAAGGAGACCAACTTGAGGAAACGGATCTTTCTTGAAGAAGGTTTACTGTAAATATTGAAAGATCAGATGAAAATAAACAAACACACTGAAAACAAACAAACACTTCAAAATACACAGAAAACAAACACTTCAAAATACACATTAAAACTGGGTCACAGATTGCGACCGAGGTGAATTTACCAGTCATGTCTGGATTGAAGTCTAAAATCATTATCATTGGATTGGGATTAGGGGGTGATAGCCGACACCGGGTCGACATGCACTGGCACAGGCATCAGAATTGCTACTTGCCTAGCAGACGACAATCCAACTCACTACCGACTGAGCTATTCCACTACCACGATTGGGGTTTGCTCTTAATATTTTTAAATAGGATTTTTTCTTTCATTTTTTACGACTGAAAATAAGGAATTCTTCAAGGACGTGCACTTTCCCCTGTTTGTTCTCTTTTCAACAGAGTTGTGGCCCATGTGTTGGTTTATTCTGAGTTTTAATATCAAGTATTCCCTGAAATATAGGAAAGGTTCTTACACCAAATTCCAGATTATTCCAATATCAGAATTAAGAAGAAAATACCAACTTGCTATCATAAAACTTTACGTCACTGTAGACATTGTGGTATACCTCTTGTATCTTAAATATAGATATATCTTGATATTTCATCAACTTTCATCAACTATAACTGATTATAAAACCACTATTGGAAAATAGATTTAAGAGGTTTCTCGGGTAATAGATAGTACTCTGATGTATTTGATGTACACTCCCCCCCCCCCCCCCTCCCCCTCCCCCCTCCCTCTCCTCTTTGCGAGCGTGGTTTAGAGGCCCCCTTTCGTATATAGTGTGTACTGTTGTATATGGTGGTTCCTTCTTATTCGTCCTAGTAAAGAAATAGAATATCCGTTGAGAACAAGGATCCATGGAATATAAAATTAAATAAGAAAGTTGACAATAGAAAACGGATCTGTTTATAAAGTAAATATTGGTTGTTGTCTATCTTTACTCTTAGAATAAACATAATAAATAGTTTAACACAAGATAAATATACATAACAATGGTGTCTTAGTCCAATATAGGTCTAATCAATCTAACATAATACCAATATCTTCTTAATGTCAAGTTATTATTTCATGTATTATGGAAGTTTTCAAATATATTAACGAGCTCTTCAACATGTCCGAGACAATTACATTTAGATAACTACAATTTTCCGTTCTAGTAATTATCTATAATTTAATCCCATTAACTATCATGTAGTGCAGTCCAGTAGACTTGATTGTTTCGAGAGACAATAGTGTATGTTGCAGTATTAGGAAACCATTTTCTGTTGTCCCCCTCCGACCCCCTTGTAGCTACGGGGCCGATGGCTACATCTGAGTATTTGAATTTATTTCATTGATTTGATTTGGAACGTATAAGGTTCTCCCATTGTGATTATTATTGCCTCCCAGCATGGCTCCGCCAGTGGGTCTGCTATAATGCATCAGCTCCAGCGGCATTTCTCTAGGTGAGTCAGGGCTAGGGGACATGGCACCCACAGAAAAGTGGCTAGGCCAGCTTTAGTCCCTAACACACACACTTTCAATTCAAGCACTCGGCACCCCTCACCTGATGTTTCTTAGAAAATATATCTGAGATTATTAAATATGAAGTTATAGGGGGGTGAGGTAAAATGACAATGTCTATCATGTAGAATTTCAACTTTCCCAGTAAATGAGCAGAATGTTTAGGATTTTTAAGAGTTTTTCCAGAGAGACCTGTTCCAAGATAATTTTGATTGCCTGCACCTCAATGTCTGTGATTTGGGTTTTAATTAGTTAGCTTGGGTGCAAGGTGTGGGGACCCCTTCCCTCCCCCCTTCCTTCCAGACACCCATAATATCCTGGTAAATTGAATAAATCTTTTTAAAACTTCAAATCTTTATTTTCAAAAGAAAATATTTAATGATAAAATAATAAACTTCAACCAAAAAAAAACAAAAATAACTGTGATAAATAAAAACAAATTAAAATATTTTAATAATTTTCTAGGCTTATTGAGTGAATTTAGTTCTATTATTAGAGATAGAGTAGGATAAGATAATATCAAATTGAACCATCCAATCAACACTGATATTATTACAAGTTTTTGAGAAAAATTGGCTTCAGTCAATTTGAAATACTAAGGGAACAAAAAGGGACAAAAGTATACCAACTAGCATGGGCCCTAAAACCTTCTTTTTAAAGAGAATCCCTGAAACAACAACTCTCAAATAAAATGACATTAAATGTCTTGCCCTAAACAGTCACAATATCATATCTATATAGCTTGTTTATAGAACTAGATAGGATCAGAGTTGTCGCGTTTTGTCGAGTATAAAATCTGAGCCCCAGCACCAATTCATTCCTGGCGATAGGGCTGTTTCTCAAGTTGAACAATCAGACTAGATCAAGATCTCATTAAGCCTAGAAACTATTATAAAATTATGCTATTTGTAGGATTATTTTACATCTTCTTTATCATAAACAATCAATAATAAAATAACACAAAAAAACACAAAATAACACAAGGGGATATATTATTATGGTATAACACACTAATTTAAGAACATGTTATCATTATGTGTTGAAATGTTATGTGTTATGTTATTAAAGAAATGTGTTATACCATAATATATTCCATTGTGTTTTCTGTTATATATACTCTCAGCTTGTAAATAACCTTCAAATCTTAACAAAACAACACACAGTCAATATAGACTTCAACCTCAGATCTTTCACAAGTTTCATTTCATGTTATTTCTATGGGCTACTTCACTCATCATCCATGATCTGAATGGCAAGCAGAGTCGACAACAGGAAACTTTTTGATCAAGTTATCTAGAATGAATTCATCTTTTTGAAAGACATTTGTTTTTATTATTTACATTAAGCTCATAGCTAATTATTTGTGTTTTGTTTTTGAAGAAAAATTATATTTTAACAGTCATATAATAGTAAAATATTTAGTAGGCACTTTTTATAAACAATGCTAGAAGCTTGGAAATATAATTAAAATACATTTCTCTCTAACATTTTACTTATAATTCTTAACAAATAATAGTTAAATAAACATTCTCTTTTAGCACAGAGCAATTTATTTTCTTTTTTAATGGATTCTTCTTCAAAATATCTGTGAAGGCAAGAGGGGAAAAACAAAACCAAATTTTTGATGGACTGGAAGGGAATAAAAAGGTAATGAAAGTCTGTGTTGATTTGATCAAAAATCATATTTTTTTATTTTCATCAGGAATGAAAATTATGTTTTTCTTCAGTGAAGCTGATTTCGTTTTTGTTTGTTTTCATTTCTAGAAAATTCAGATGGGGGATTAGAAACAAATTGGTCTGATCTAAGATTATAGTTTAAATGTACTGGGCATCAGAGAGACACGTTAGTCAACAGTTCAGCCATTTGTCTCTCGTGTCGGTTGGATCAGCCATATTGTTTCACCGCAGAACTTTGGCTCAGCTAGGGTCAACAGAGCAGGTCACGTGACTCGTGACTGCCAGCACTTCCTTGACGCCATTTTGAACAACAACAGCATTATATCACATGACAGCTTAAACACATTCTATTGGCTGTTGAGAAAATGCTGGCTGAGCTATCATCTCAAGTCAAGCACACACATCGAGTCAAACATCATTCGTGCCAAAATTATCAAACATGAGAGATTTCGGACGCACTGTCTCGCGAGAAAAACGACGCAGCAAAATTTACCTGCACACATTGAGATTTCAGTTACTCGTGGCAACTGGCTGAGCTATTGACTCACGTGCGCCAGACTTAAAATAACACCTAATATTGAAATCCTCTTTGGAAAATTCCAGGAAGTGTAAAAGTTTTTTTGACACTGCCTCACTGACATCCATCACAAAACAACACTCTTTGGAATGATGAAGACACTTTTAAAATCATATACTGAAAATGAACGTTGAAAATCCCACAACCATGATGTTACACCATTGTCCACATTTCACCATTGAAATCTTTAATTGCAAGTCACAAGCAATTGTAAGTATGATATATAGACACAGCTTTATAGAACAACCAATCACTGGTTAAAATTTGATACAAGTTTAAGATGTGTTTTCTCCCTTCGTCCTCAGGCACATAATGTACGAAACGAAACCAGTTGTTGTTACACCATTGCCCACAGTTCACTATTAGGCTCCAGTTTCTCAAAAAAATATCTAAATTTCAGCAAAGTCAAGCAATGTATTATGTTATAACACCATCACCTCCTCTGTTTATTTTACACGTATTTTAATAATTTGGATTACATAAAAAGGACTATTTTGGTATTTGAACTTAAAACTGAACAGTACCACATTATGTATTCTGATGGCCAACTTTTTGTATTGGTTAAGAAGACTACTGTATGAAAAGCACTTTTAAGAAGATCTTGTTGAATATTTTCATTCCAAAATTTTATCGCATCGTGTTGATATATTCAAGCATCGTTATATTTAATCGTATTCAGAGAAAACTAACGAAGTCCTAAAATTGATCAAGTTATTCTATTGGTTTTGAAGACAACTGTATAAAAAGCACTTTAAAGAAGATATGGTTGATTAATTCCATTTGAATATTTCACTTATTTTATAACGAATCATGTTGACGTATTTAATCGTATTCGGAACCAATCGTTAAACTCACTTCTCCAGGGTGAATAAACGTTGAATGATACCAAATATTAGTATCTATCACAACTGGAAAATAAAATATAAAATAACATTATTCAGTGTACAATGAGGGAAATTAAATAAAGTCAAGATGGTACGGAATTTAGATTCATTATTTCCAAATAATTTAAAGAGATTGTAAAGAGTTTTGTAAATTTTTTACATGTATCGGGGACACTGAAAGCATCAATTTGCACCATTCCAATTTTCAATCAGACGTCTGTGGTTCTAAGGCATTACAATTAGTCAATCCAAATGAGCTCTTTTGTCATCGAATTTTTTCTGTGATGAGCCAAATTTAAAACTTATTACAACAATCTGTAAAACAAATCAAACTGTATAGTTGTCATGACAATGCCAACATCCTACAACTGGTCTCACAAGATAACGCCATATTTCAATTTTGTGATTTATACTTGGCAAGTTATTACTTAAACTTACAGATATCTCCTTTTTCTACAGTAGCACTCAAAGCGTGGCAGATTCCCTCACATTCAGGAGCTGGTTCTAACGTCCATGTTTTTTTACCTGAAATCTGTGCCTGCCAAGATGGCCGCTCAACGTAATCTAACTGAAATAACAACATGGTCATGACAATTAAAAATCAACCACAGTCTTTAAATATTTCAATGAAAACTTCCAACTCTTCTGCCCCATATAGACCTTATTCACGCCTTGTTTTTTTTAGAGACACTGAAAGCGAATTACATCATCCATTGATAAGATAGTGACATCATATGAATAATTAGCCAATTTGACATCATTAAAAACTTGTTCAACAGCAAGAAAATGGGATTAAAACGGCCCTTTCTGGGAAATATGTGAAGGTAAAATTCCTCTTTTCATTTACTAACATTAAATAGCTTATTCAATTCCAAATTTAATGATGTCAAATATGATTAGTTTCGAGTTAGTGGGATTAGAGAAGGAGGCTTTCAAGACGTCAAGATGGCGATAACGTTACCTTTCCAAAGTTTGCGTTATATGCCTCGTTCTGGATTCAATATGGCCGATGCATGAATAAGATCCATTGGGCTAATCTAAACAGTGTGCAAATAGGGAAATTATTCAACCTTTATAGGGAGTAAGACTTCTCTCTTAATGATCATGTTATTGTTAAATACTGATTTCCTATTCTGTAAAATAATCACGGAGTTACTTCCCTTTAATCACACATTTATATATTGAATTCTTCTTAAAATCAATATTTACTTTTGCCTCAAAACCTGGTCACATTTCAATTAAATTTAAATCTTATTTGATTTTGATAAAAACTGAGTATAGAAAACTCACTGAAAAGGAGTTAAGAGTGATTGAGAATATTCTACTGTAGATTACTGAAGCTTGTGATTCCTGAACATTTGAGCTGCCATTTCAGACATGTATGTAAAATAGAGTCAAATCAACAGCCCTGTGTAACTCTTTGTCTCAAAAAATGCAAAAAAAACGACTAACCCACTGGAGTTTTAAAGATTTAAACATCAAAGAAGTCATACAATATTGTGACAGGCTATATAAAACACCCCTAATTTTACAAATAAACTCTTCCAATCATACATATAGTTGCATATTGATAGAAAGAATGCATGAGTGGAAGAGTTCAATAGAAAGTTAAGGGGTGTCAAATAGTTGACAATCTGCTATTCAATTAGGGGCTGTGGGTTCAAATCCTCTTCAAGCTAAGAAAAATTCTAATGTCTGTGCACGTGCTTTCGAGAGTCACCCCTACTACCAGTCTTTGTGATGATATTTAAAAGAAACTTACATGCATGAAAGCGCCCAGACCAGTTCCACCCATAAACATCCAATCAATAGTGCTGGATTCAGAATCATTTGGAATAAAATATGGTCGCTGGTAATGGCTACGGAGAATTTTAGCCGCCCCTTCGTGACAATTACTCCTAAAATTAAAAATATATTTCATACTATCTCTTGGAATGAACCTAAAAATTGCCACTAAAATATATTAATAAGGTGTATTTATCAATAGACTTGTCTGATGTTAAAACTGTAGACAGAATCCCTCTAAAATACTTCAATCAATCTATTAAACTAAGTAACTTGAAAAACACTTTTTTTAAAAATTAATTTCTTTAATTGTATTTTCTAGGTTTGTCGACTCTGTATCTATTTCAGAGAGTCCACACAGCAAATAATATTTGGCAACTCAATAACCCTGTTAAAAATGTCAACTACAAAAATGAAACGAAGCTAAGAGCTCCCTTAATGTATTTGATTGGAATGAAAAATAGATTTCAATTAAGGCTGAAATAAAATAAATATATTTAGCGTTAGTTTTTTTATGATCAATTTTCCAGGCAACCTTTGTCCTGATATACGACCATAACCGCCATAGGGTAACAGTTTATTATTTATATTTACATTTTCAAGACATTCTAATTTTGATACAAAGACTTTAGTATGAATTTAAGTGGGGCCTATTTCTTTACGCTTCAACGTTTGGGACTACCGACATGATTGTTTACATTGGAGAACGTCTATTTGATACAATGATGTCAATGAATAACAACGTCATTGGTTAAAATTACTACGCCTAATGTTTTGGTGATGAGGCAATGGAATTTATGGTGATATAAACGTCACACGAATTTGCATCAGTCCAATGTAAAAAATAATAGTTAATGTAAATATTGAGAATACATGATAGAAATATTTTAATTTAATTCAGTATAATTTCAAACATTCTATTCTTGATAATACGTGTAATAATATTTTTCAGGTTCATTCAGGCAGATGTTTATGCTAAAGGTGCCCTCATACCATAGCGATGAGATCGAAACATCTGCCTCTATTCCAGCCTCTGATAGATATTTTAACAGTTATTGACTACAGTAGTCAGAAAAACTAGGCTCTATTATATGGTGATATTCCACACCACCGAGAAGGTTTTTTTAACATAATATTAAATTACCATTACGAAGATTGTAAAATAGTGTTGAGTATCACAGTAACTTTTGTTTTGTTCGTATCACGTGACTTTCTGACCCTTGAACTTTTGGCTGTGCACACAGTTTTAAAATGGCTGACATGAGATCAGTTTAGATAAAAAAAAAAACTTTGATGGAACTGCAGACGTGACATTAAAGGGGTAGGGTGAAAATGATACTTTGAATGAAATTATTGATCTTTCCAAATATGTCTGAGTTTGGTGAATCCAATTTAAATAAATAAGCTTAAAACCCTCTCAAAAAAAAAAAAAAAAAAATCCATGAAACTAGTTTTTCTGTCTATACACCTATCAACAACTTTAAATATAGCTTTCAAAGGCTTGTATAGAGGCAGATGTTTCTGTCTACATAGCGATTACCAGTTGCGTACGATTGCTACACTGTTACACTGCTATACATGAGAGTTGCGTTTGAAACTAATGACCACTATTCTTACTTGCAACCATTAGCAACTAGTGATCACTATAGTGTGAAGGCACCTTCAACCATGATCATTATGGTGACTATTTATGGAAATTGACACATACCTAATTATGTTTTATTTTCTAAAGCTAACAGATGCCTAGCGATAAAACTTCACAAACCAGATTTATTTATAAAGTAAATTAATAAAAAATCTCTAAATATGAAATAAAACAGCTTCAAATTGACTATATTCATGGTGTTTAATAAAATTTTTATAAAAGTTTCATACACAGCTGTTCAAATTATTCTTTATGAAATCTATAACATTTAATGGAATTTTTGATTTATTATAAATGATCAATATTTTCAGTCAGGAATAAAATGAGTCAATAAAAATTTCTATCTTGCCTTCTGGTGTGTTTATGAGCTAAAAATTGAACGCGTTTTCAAGAACATGGGCAATAATTCATACTAAATATTTTTCAATATTTCTGATTTTCAATAGGGTTCATCCTTGGGTGATTACAAACGCAAAGTTTGGGTGATTACTGAGGCCAATTTTCGTCAAAATCCATCAAGAATTGTGTCTTATGTGTTTAAGAGCAATTGTGTAGGGACAGGTGACATTAATATATCCCCCCCATTTCATGTAATAAAAATAAAAATAGCTAGACTCATGTATTGAAATTTTCTTTTTATAAGAAACAAACTAATTTCCTGTATTTCTAGCTAAATTATATATAGATTAGTCATGAAATGGTAACATAAGGTCTACAAATCTGTTACTAAACAATACCCTATTTAAAACATACCAGGTTATATTCTACTTATTACATACCTCTTTTATATCTAATATACTTTAAGATCAATAACAGAAATCAGAAACTTTTCCTGGTATAGGTCAAGATAATACCTTTTGATTTTCAACCCAGTTTCCCACTGTCGGTAACGCAGGTAGAAGGGGATGACATGGAAAAAGTTTCTAGTGGTTCGGATGGGACAATAAACCAAGGCCCTATGTGCTAAAGGCTGTTCACGCATAGAACAGTTTACAGTCCTATGGTTCACGTTTAAGATACCTTGACAGTTGGAAATTGAACATGGAATTGCCCGTCTTCATTAGCTTAAGTGAAGAAAATAGGACGTAAAACTCAATTCTTTTCATTTCATGTCCAGATATTTGTGTATAAAGCAAGGTGACTAATCGTGATTGGATAATCATCTTGAAACTTTCTTTTAAAAAATATTATTTCAAATACAATTTATTCCATAAACTAGAGTTTCAAGAATACTTTAAAAACTTTTATATACAAACAATGTGAATTAAATTAAATTTGTGGTCAAAAAATGGAAACTTTCTTTGAGGTAGTTCACTAGCATCAACCTGGTAATTATAGTGATTGGAAGGTAACAAGTTACTGTTTAGCAAAAGGCACTGACACAGGGTTAACTTAGTGATTAGGGTGGTTGGAAGGTAACAAGTTACTAATTAGCAAAAGGCACTGACACAGGGTTAACTTAGTGATTAGGGTGGTTGGAAGGTAACAAGTTACTGTTCAATAAAAGGCACTGACACAGGGTTAACTTAGTGATTAGGGTGGTTGGAAGGTAACAAGTTACTATTCAATAAAAGGCACTGACACAGGGTTAACTTAGTGATTAGGGTGGTTGGAAGGTAACAAGTTACTGTTTAGCAAAAGGCACTGACACAGGGTTAACTTAGTGATTAGGGTGGTTGGAAGGTAACAAGTTACTATTATATAAAAGGTACTGACACAGGGTTAACTTAGTGATTAGGGTGGTTGGAAGGTAACAAGTTATTATTATATAAAAGGCACTGACACAGGGTTAACTTAGTGATTAGGGTCGTTGGAAGGTAACAAGTTACTATTCAATAAAAGGGTTAACGTAAGTCATCATACACAATCCTCGTGGTGATTTGACCATGAAATTTGTTTTTCAAAATATAAATCTATTCTGTACGTGAATAACTTGTAGCTGAACCAGCTGGTTCAATACATAACAATACCCTCTTAATAATCAGAGAAAATCAGAGGTCACAGAATTTCAATAATAGATTACAATACCACGCACAGCTTAAAAATTCAACACCATTCATTGGTGAAACTTGTAAAAAACTATAAAGTCACATAGTTGTCTAAATTTGATATACATTAAAACAGTTTAATACAAAATTAAATCAAACTTTCGCTCCTTTTTTCATTAGCTTTTATCTTTAATATAGCCACTTCAGTTAGGGTCTAAAGACGGCCTTCTTGAACAATCGTCAGTTTGATGACACCGCCAGCCAATCAAATTCCCACCCTCTCCTGCGCTAGGATTTATGAGGCAACTAAAAGTGTATTTTGAGAAACATTAGAAATACACCTTTTGTTCACAAAAACAAACTAAACTTTACTAAGGTAATCAGCACTTTAAATATTGAGCTCTATCAGCTGGTAAAGTAAATATTTAGATGACTATACAGATAGCTGAAATTGAGCTCTATCAGCTGGTAAAGTAAATATTTAGATGACTATACAGACAGCTGAAATTGAGCTATATCAGCTGGTACAGTAAATATTTAGATGACTATACAGATAGCTGACATTGAGCTCTATCAGCTGGTAAAGTAAATATTTAGATGACTATACAGACAGCTGAAATTGAGCTATATCAGCTGGTAAAGTAAATATTTAGATGACTATACAGATAGCTGAAACTGAGCTCTATCAGCTGGTAGAGTAAATATTTAGATGACTATACAGATAGCTGAAATTGAGCTCTATCAGCTGGTAAAGTAAATATTCAGATGACTATACAGATAGCTGAAATTGAGCTATATCAGCTGGTAAAGTAAATATTTAGATGACTATAAAGATAGCTGAAATTGAGCTCTATTAGCTGGTAAAGTAAATATTTAGATGACTATACAGAAAGCTGAAATTGAGCTCTATCAGCTGGTAAAGTAAATATTTAGACGACTATACAGGTAGCTGAAATTGAGTTCTATCAGTTGGTAAAGTAAATATTTAGATGACTATACAGATAGCTGACATTGAGCTCTATTAGCTGGTAAAGTAAATATTTAGATGACTATACAGAAAGCTGAAATTGAGCTCTATCAGCTGGTAAAGTAAATATTTAGATGACTATACAGATAGCTGATATTGAGCTCTATTAGCTGGTAAAGTAAATATTTAGATGATTTCATCCCTTACATATAGAAATGACTAAATTAATTATGTTGTATTTCAGTCAATAAATTTTTTATTTATCGCTGAAATTTTCAAAATCTGTTCAAGCTGTAACATTTCTATAGAGGCTGGGTTTGGCCCCACTTTCATATTTCATTTTACATAGGGAATGAATTGTCTTTGAACCTCTCTCGATAATTCTAAGGCCCATTCATTTTATGATTTATAAAAACATCACTGAGAACACCCCTATTAGTTTGATAGGCCTTGTGTGGCAAAACCCTGTTCATGAACAAACTACATTTGCTATGTCTTTCGTTCTGTGTAGAG